GATTTCTGTCATGTTTTGGTTTGGCCGCCCCTACCTTTCTTCCAACCTATTCCTACACCACAAAACATAGCTCGTCGAGGCAGTCAGTGATTAGGCATACGTAACACATGTCCCAACCACATCAACTGATGAGGTTCCAATACTTCATCTATTAATTTGCTATCCCTACCTAGTACTTGTTTCCTATAACATTGCTTACTCGGTTGTCCCAGGATATAGGAGCAATGCTTTAAAGACATCTATAATCGAATACTAATAACTTGTGAATATCCTCTACTTTTATTGACCATGTTTCGCAGTCATATAGTAGGATGGAGTGAAGTGCTGCGCAGTACACTTTTCCTTTGGTTAGCAAATGGATACCTGGCCTACGTCATAGGTGACGCAAATTGGCAAAAGCCAATCGAGCCTTCTGCATACGAGCTGAGATTTCGTCAGTCACCAGGCTATCAGCACTGATGAGACTCCCGAGATAAGTGAAGCGGTCGACACGTTCGACCACTTAACTCCCTATCACTAGTTCAGGTACCGGATTCAATACAATCTTGAAGTAATATTTTACATTTCGAAAGATAAAACCGCATCCCGAACAAGCTTGCATTGTTGCTTATGGTGGTCAGAAGAATCTACATTTTGTCAGCGTCTTCATCGAATAGAACTATGCCATTAGCATATTTTAAGTCAGCTAGCGTGTCTCTTGGTAAAAGACATTACTAACAGTTCCAAAAAAAGACTTGGGAACTTAGTTTGACTATTGTCAACTTCATGATTTCAATTCCCTACAGTCCTTTTACACTTACTTCATAAACATTGATTACAAATTAAACGTATCTCTCTGTCCTGACAGAAAACAATTTACGCATCAAACAATATACAACAAAATTCTATAAAGGTTTCCATGAGTATAACAATTTTCATTTTCCACTTTTAAAATAGTACACAAAGCCAAAGTCTACTGTATATATATATATATATATATATATAGTAAGATTATAGCGGAAAAAATACGTTGTTGTTGTTGTTCTGTATGCTTTGGCCACCACTACTTCTTATCCTTGAACATTTTTTATGATATCATCAAACTAGAGACAACTACGAAAATCAAATATATATATATTCGCTTAGGAAACTATCAAAAAAACAGAGAGAAACGAAAAACAAAATTCTTGCTTTAATTTTAAAGAAAAACAAAATCTATCAATATATTATTATCCGTAGTTGTCGATTGAAATTACAGTACTAAAAATAATAATAATAATAATAATGGTACACATATATGTAGTATATGTTAGAAATGCATAACCATGTACGTATTGCACAAAGATCAATTTGAATATATATATATATATATATATATATATATATATATATATATATATATATATATATAGATTATATGATTTTAGTTCGATAGAAAAGTTCAAACTATATATATTTATTCATCAAACAGTAATTAATCATATGATGTGTGAACATAAGAAGTAATTTCCAATTTGATTGATTAATTATTGGCAAATTAAGTCAATAATTGAAAGAAGAAGAAGATTATTACGAAGAAGAATCTACCAAACTAACAAACAAATCTTATCATCATCATCATCATCATCTCCAATTTGTATTGATAATAATAATTTTTATAAATTAGTTTTGAGGTTTTTTTACAATTAATTTATCAACAAGAAACATCATCAGTTTTTTTAGGTAGTGAATGTCTTTTTAATTATTTTAAGTCAAATCATTCATTTAACATTTAATGACAGAATACAATATTGTCAAGTTTTGAATGGTTCTTACTAAGAGTTAAAACACACTTCATTGTGATCATATATACAGACTTCTCCTTGACAATATCAATTCGACGTTTATCCTAAACCCTATGCTCGGTTTTCAATTATGATTTGTTTGAAGAGATGTAGCGGTGGGGGGGGTCAGAGCTTAAACCTGCAACCATTAGTTTAGAATCACAAATTTTATCCACCAAGCCATCAATCCAGTATTCAAACATTATCATGTTGGGGGAGACGTTCAATGACTCGTTGGTTAAGTAGCCTGGTAGTACGCCCGATATAGCTATCTTTCCACAGGAACAGCTGGATTTGTAAATGCACATAAAGGGGGCTAACTCAGGTTACTTATCCTTAGTTTGGGTAGACGTCACTGGTCGACTTGATAAGGTCAACGCAAGTTCGGCTGCGTAGAATGTTCTACTAATTACTTCCGTCAATCTGTCCTGCAGAGTATCACTAGCCACATCTCCGTTGAATTTTAGTTTAATAAATAAAGGCTTTTTAATAATGCTAACAAACTGAGTTCGCAAAATAATATCCACTTAGAAAGATATTTACTGAGGATTTGACTATGATTATTTTCCAATAACTAGATGTACAAAAAATTATGAGTGAAATAGATAGTAAGTAAATAAGGGAAATTAAAATACTCTCTCCTTGGGATAATCTATGTCATAATCGATATCCGATAATAAAACCACTAAATATCTTGAACAACTCTATATATAGCACATAAAAACATTAAAATAGGCAAGGTGTTTATATGATGAATTACTACTCTGTTAATTAATTAAATGAATAAAGTTAATAATTATTTCTCATTTTTAAGCAGACCAAATGAATTTTGAATATGTAACTACAAATCGCCTGAACTATTTATTGAATTAAAATTTCAATACAGAAGAGAAGAAATTGATGAACTCTCCAATTCTAAGTGATGAAATAATCTATACGTCATTGGTGAATTGCAAAGTTTAAGATGATAATCTCCAATAAATAAAGCTGTTTTCGTATTTTACCCAATGATTATGATAACTAGGATAGTCTTACTCTAACTACATTTAACTGATGATAAATACATTCTAATCCATCTCGCATAGTTTTCATGATTTCATTACGGAATTCCACACATTTGTTGTTTCATTGAACAACCAACCCTTCAATGTTGCCTAGTTTATTATATTATAACACAAAGTCTATTCTAGTCAGTACCAATTTATAATGATCAACTCTATCTAAAACACTGAAAATAATCCTTGCAATGTCATTAAAAACCAGATTAGAGATTATGATACATAACTTTATTTCACATTAAAATAGTTTAGACAAAATTATACAACATTTTCGACAAAAAGTAAAACAAAAAAAAAAAATACGTAATCCACACAGTAAAACGTAGTTTTAGTTGCTAGGTCAAATGAAATTAAAAGTTCATCTAATTTTGTTATACAATTATAGATAGTAAATAATTTATTTACTACATACTACTACTGTGGTGCGAACTACTTATAAGTAGTATATAACGTGAGTGTCAACGTAAAGTCTGGTAGCATAATACGGGGGGAAGATCAAGAAAGGAAGAGTTAGAAAACAATGGAATTTGTATCAAACGCATGAATAGTGACAATGGATTGATGTTTGGCAACAGAAACAGCCCAGTTCCATAGGATGAACTGATCTTTTGCAAATGAACGATTTACGATATGGTTTTCCGATTTTACTGAGTAACTCTGTAATTTTCGTTAAATACAATTCGGTTGCCCCTACCTGTGTTCTCATTCACTACACTACTAGGATGTGTTTGGACACAAAACGGTTGTCGAAATCGTTTAATTACTGGTCATAATTGTCTATTACAATATTTATACGGTAAAAGGTTAAACAAAAAAAAAGCTAATAATCATAAAAGGGCCATCTTATAATAATAAACGACGAGCTACTGAATGAACCTATTAACTTGCTTATGATACTGAGATGATGAATCAACAAACAATTAAGCTTAATCTTATTCATATTAAATGAAATTTCGTGTTTGTTTAGTAAATAAAAAATGTACGAGAGAGAGAGAGAGAGAGTGATACAAGTTTCTTATCCATTATGAATTCACATGCTAAACTGAGATAAAATAAGGATTTCAAGGTATGTGGACCTTGTCATATTTCAATACCAATGGATATTATAGCAACTTATAAGCTGAAGTTCAGTGATCTGTTTAAAATACAGATGAACAAGATTCAATTACTATTTGAATAACATTTTTCGATTCAATTACATAGAGACTTTGAATGACATGGATCAAAATCGTTAGCAATGGCGCAGGTGCATTCATTCATTGTGTTCTCTCAAATTCTAACCTTCTAAATTCTTCATCACCTCCATCTCTTTCTTAAGTTATCTCAGTGAATGATGCTTCCTGAATTATGCCTTCGAACCCTAATATTCTCCATTACTGCTATTACTTCTACTATTACTACCACTATTACATTTGAACTGACAGTCGCGTTTCTGTGCTGATGCGGTATGACAACCTGAACTTATGTACTCATATACCAAGCTCTACGTTGTAACTGACTGACTGACTGACTGATTACATAGCGTAACAAGAACTCACTTAAGGTTGCTGGTCTTGACAGAAAAAGCTAGGGTTTGACACTTATTGTTCGGAATAAAAGCCTGGATATTGGGCTACGGGCGACTAACACGGTTTAAAAAAGCATTTAGTGCATATGAAAATGATGTTGATATCAAACAGCCATCATAATAGAAGTTTACCAAAGTTTTAAAAAGACATTAGGATGAAAAGTTAATCTAAACACTGAACAAGAGTGTACCGACATTCTGTGTCTTTCATGATTCCCCCGAAAATTCCCGGTAATCGAATGCATTTTCAGCACATCTAAGTTATCCTACTACTCAGTTACTACACATTTTGTTGCATTTCTTTATTCCACCAGAAAATGTATGTCAAATTAGACTATCTGTGAGTATTAATCAAAAACGTTAAATATTCAAACATACTAAGCAATCAGATGTCAACATTAGTATTGCCCTGAAGGCAAATCGCCATAATATATGTATTGCTTGATATAAAAACAAAGAGCTATAAGTGGAAAATGGTTAGAAAAAAATGTATCAGAGCGATAAGTTTTAGCACATGAAATTTAAGTATTTATCAAGATAAAAACGATAATACAGGAAGAACGATTAACATACCAGCACTTGAAACGTCTTCTTCATTGATCACCTCACCATTAATATCGACTAATTGCCAGGCTTTCATCATAATTGGTAGTGACAAATGATTGTTTCTTTAGAACGGAGTGAATATACTTTACCTAAAAGCGTGATCAATTTAATTATTCATTTCTATTAAAATACAATTAAAAACTAGTCAAACGTGTTTGATGTGTAGGAAAAAGGGAAAAAGCCAAGGCGTATTGATTAGTCCAAGTCAAATTAACGCATTGATATGAAACCAACAAAAAGAGAAGACTTAAGTAATATTGACTGTATAGCGAGTATATGCGTTAGAAATATTATTCAAAACGAAAAAAATATGACCAAAGAATGAGAAGTACAGAATGATTCTAAGGTTAAGATTTGGAGAAGGATAAACAACATATCTAATTATGCTACTAATACCGAGACCGGAACATTTTACATGTAGCTCTTATTGCAAATTATCAGCATATCAGAGTCCACGAAGTCCACAACAGAAATATAATACAAGTTAATAAACAGCGATTACGTGTATTGACCTCACATATCCATCTGAGTGTCTAGTTTTTTCCCAACCAACTTTTATATAAGGGAGTGTTTCAAGAGGGGATGAACATTAGGAAAATGCATATCTTATGCTCTAGCTGTGTTGGAATGTCACTTGTTTTCAGTTATGGCTTTTAAGGTTGAAAACAATCTGTTTTATTGTTCAAACGAATATTTTTTCATATATATTGAAATTATTGATTAAGGAGGAAAAACGTAATGGGAAAGCGGATGTGACCTGCATATATACCAATATAAAGTGGTTGGTAGCAAGGGAAAAACTTTAGTCTCTTTGTTAAGGTTTTTAGACCATCTAAACTCTTAATTATAGATTACTTTAAAAAATTAGATAATACATTGCAAAATTTAAAGACAGGCTTTAAACTCACTCAACCAGTTATTATCAATAAACAAACATGAGTGGAATCAACAAGATAAATAGCAAAAAGAGTACAAGAAATAATGTACTAGCAATGACAATGATAAATGCTAAACATCGATGATACGTCTATAAAAGTTGAAATAAAAATGTATATTCACAGAAAGACTGGAATCCAAGATTGAGAGGAAGGTAAAGAGTAAATACAATTGCGTGTTTGTGACCGCTTTTGAACCACACTAATCAAAGTCTCTAACATAAAACCAAGATCATATAGCTAGGTTATTAGCGATTTGATGCCGGGAAACTAAATCAAAACAGATTTCACCGAAGAACACCAGACACCATCTATGAGACTCCGCTGCCTTATGTCTTAGGACAAGACGAGTGCAATAATTTCAAGCCATGACTTGAAAACAACAGCATAATATAATGTAACAGCTGTTAAGACACTTCATTTGTTGTGATCACTTTTCAGAGCCTGTAAAAATCTGAACACGGACGTACCAATTATCAACTCCATGTACGTGAAACTTCATTTACACAACAACTGAGCAGCTGGTCCATATTTCATCATAGTTGAACAATCCAAAGCTGAAGTACTAAATTCCCTGAAAGACGTACTAATGCCTTCAAAAAGAGATTTCTACTGCAAAATATTGTTTGCTTTGTCACAGAATAAAAAATCATCTATAGTTTTAGTGCTAAAATACCCTATATTTCCTTTTCTATAAAACTAATCAGCTATTGGGCAGTCAAAAGGGGTCAGGAAACAAAATCACATTAACCAAGGATGAGACTTTTTTATTCTGGGTGGTCAGCATTTGGAAATTTCTACCACAAAAGATTTCACATCACTGACTACTGATTCCTTTCGAGGAAGTCAGATGAACACAGAGTTAGGTGTGGCTGACGTTAACGCGAGCTACCCGACCTAAGAGAGGTTGGCACATTATTATCTAGAAATACATTTCTTAATACGAAAGGACTACATCGACAAGTTATGTTAAAAAAAACACAAATTTGTTTCTAAATAGATTTTCTCTTGAAGTTGTGGAATTAGGCTAGAAATAATATTAGGACAGCCATGCTTAACAAGCAGATATTCAGGAAGTTCGACAAAAGAACGAAATATCATCTACTTTCTAAAAATAATGGATGACAGGAATACACTTTGTTCTTAACACAGAATAAACCTGTTGCAATCTCATGAAATTTGATAAAAAGGGAACAATCAGAAAGAAATAGGGAGCCTTACGTGCCAAATTTCTTAGTTACATTCATCAAACTCTGTGAAATATAAGAATAAACTCACAAGGACAGGTTGTAAATAGTAGGAAATCGTTACGACCTTGAATCAGCTGTGCCCACCTCAACTACGATTGGTTAACATTTTGAAATCATGGCTATGGTACTCTTAGGTACTTCATAAAAACAAACTTTAGCAGAACAAAGCAGTAATCTTCATCGACAAACTCATAGTAGTCTAGGGGTTTTTTATGAAGCTTATTGGTTTTCATATTTAGGAACCATATTCACAAAGCATCTCAGATCATCTGACTGATATATAATGACCTATTGAGTGTTCACAATTTTCAGGAATAACGCAGGTCACCTTGACTAATACGACTTTCATAATGAAACAGAGTTACATAAAATATAGGTCCTCAAGCTTTAAGATTATTCTTGAAAGCAACATTGGAATAGTTTTTTAGTAAGATTAGTGTGCTGTTTTTGGGGGAAGTTCTCGTTCGAGGGTGCAATGTTTCTTGGTCTAGTTCCTTTCCTTTGTCGCGGAGGGTTCTGAGTAAAAGCTTGTCTTGCGACGCAGTACGCAGGTTTCAACAATGTTTTTCCTACTCAACTGCTTTTCGTGATTTCTTTTTCAGCTGCAATCTAAATTCTTCATCCCCATAGAAAGCAGCTATTGATGGTGCCTATCTAAAGATCAGCACTATCTTTCGTAGATAACTGTTAATGACACATGTATGTTTGGGATGACGGCTGTTTAGTTCACCAAATTTCTGCTTCATATAACATAAGAACATAACAACATAAGAGTTTGTTTTTAAAATTGTGACTGTGGTGTTGGTTGACAGAAGTTCTGAATCCGATCTGTAGAAACGCTACTGCTGTTTTGTCCATCTGTGTCTTTACATCAGCATCGGATCCACAATGTTCATCAAAGATAGTGCCCACATTTGTAGAAGTTTAAACACCTAATTTTTATTCATCGAGTGTGTTTTGGTTATTGCATGATGTATATAATCGGAGGATCTTTCTTTTACCGAGACCTACTCACAAAGAGGCTGCTGTTACACTGGTCGTCTTTACTTACATTTGTTTTTGCATGTGAGTCAGAAGGTTTCGATCATCTGTGAGGCTCAGGTCTTCTAACTGCATCCTAGCTGTCTTGTATATCCCATACCTTCTTTCGGATTATATCGTCTTCATTATCTAGTCAACCACCAGAAGAGAGGGAAAGTATGAGAGTGAAGAACCATCACTCCTGACGAGTCCGTCAGTTGTCATCCATGCATGATCTTGCAGTTTAAGAATTTCACATGATGTTAACTATCTTCTCTGGCACTTCATAGTATTGAAGGATTCCTCATAGTGTCATCCCGTACACCCTGTCGGATGCTTTCTCGTAATCAAGGAGGTTGATGTCTAGTAGTGAGTTCCGTTAAAATGATCGTTCGACAATGATCCGTGGTGTAGTGATTTGGCCGGTACATGAATGATCTTTACGGAATCCAACCTGTTGATATGGAAGTTAGGCTTCAGTGGAAACTTTCATTCTGTTGAAAAACACAATGCTGGAGACTTTTCCTGGTATTGAGATAAAAGTGATGCATCTATTCTCTCGCTTGCTGAGATATGCTTTCTTTTGTTTCTTGACGAGGTGTCTTTCTTTCGGGTCTGTCAACACTCGTTCCTCCTTCCAAATCTTGTTGAACAGATTGTAACGCTGTTCGCCTAGTTGTTCAGTGCTTTTTCAGGTTCAATTTCATCAAGGTATTACCAAGTGATAATCTGAAGATGTGTAATAAACTCCTCCATAGTCTTTCTGAACTTTTCATTGTTGCAAATGTGATGCATTTGGTTCTCTATAGTGTGATCCGATAAAACCCATGTTTCTTTGTTTATGTGCTTGTTTGGCAATATGGTGCTGCCTGTGACCAGTTTGTTGGAGGTACGTAGACTCCCTAATCGCTCATCATCTTTTTACTTTCTCATAGTTCACGTCGTCTCGTGATTTCTTCATTGTCCATTGCAAACTGGGAATTTAGATAACCCATCACAATGGTCATGTTCTTTGTTAGGTGTTCCTCGACAGTTAACTGCAGCCTCTCATAAAATTGATTGAAACAATTGATGAACCTCGACTGAACTGAGTGCCAGCATATACGTCAATAATAATACAATTAATCAACCAAACGAATTATGTTAGACTATAAAATTTTGAAGGCCATACGTAAATGAGGATTATCTCAATATAATGAATAAGTTTAAGTCAAAAGACGAATGTAAATGTAGTCCAGATTCAAAGTGACACCCTCTATTTGGAATCGCGGTAGTTACAAATTAACCACAACAAATGTGGGATCATACATTTTGATAAAGATTACCATCAAATACCACTTTATTGACAAAAATTTAGGATAAGGACACTATCTGGCTGTTCACTACTCAGGAAGCCTAAAATTTGAAGAACATACCTCTTTTATCATCTCTAGGTCTAGATAGTTGATGGAGTACATAGATGAGTAGTTCCTAACAAATGAAACTGAGTTTAACCTCTTCGAATTATGGATAAGTTCCTCCACTAAATACTGCTAATTTATGAAAACCATGGACAAGATATGAGTAGAAGATGTCCAAAGAAGCTTCACGCCTCAACGACTAGGATATGATCATACTCTAAATTACAATAATGGACTTAACTTGCATTGATTCTCGACCATCAGTCGTTCATCACAAAGCAACAGACATAATCCTTTCCAACCACTGTGTTGTACTTCACAAACTCTTATACAGTACAGTTTTACGTGAAAAATATCAGCCGTCTATGTTTATACTCAGTGTATTATTTAAATTATTTGTCCAACTGAACAACCTATTTCAGTAAATGTGTT